TCACGTTGGAATTTATGGTCAGGCTCTTCCTTGACTCTGAGTGATTCCTGACCAAGAGAAGTTCAAATTGCTGACGACAATTTCTTGATTTCTCCCCAACACAATGCCTCACATTCAAGGTAGAAAAACAAGACAAAACAACAAACATAAGCAGACAAAAATATATGTTATCATCTGTCCCCAGGGAGTTTGTGAGCTCCTTATGATGCAGTAGTTTAGAGTCTATATCCTTACCTTGATGGGATATATATGTCTGTATGTATAGGTACATAAACAAAGACATACAGCGATATGTTTCCTTCACTAAGATAGAAGGGAATTAGTATAAATTACACATGCAAGATAGGAATTGTAGGGAGCACTGGCTTTAGTCCTGAACCAACATGACATGATCATGAATCTATCAGCTACTGTGAGGTAAATGTGAGTGGGAATGGTAGTGGTGATATCAGGAGAGGGAAGCACTGAAAATAGGTATGTTGAAATCAAAAAGTACAATGCCCTTAGCTTTATTCTTCTCTTTCAAGAGTGGTTGGACTATTTAGGGTCTGTTGTGATTCCATGCAAATTTAATTTTTTTCTCTTTCCATGAAAAAATATCAGTAATCAGAATAGCACAGTATTGGCATGGGTATGGACACAAAGATCAATGGAACAACAATGAAAAGGCACACAGAAAGAAATCCATGAATATATGTAAACTAATCTTCACTAAATGTGCCAACAAATACAATAAATCAAGGAAAATCTCTTTCACGAGTGGATTTTGGAAAACTGGATGTCCATGGGTAAAAGAATGAATTTAAACTCATCTTATGCCATATACAAACATTAATTCAAAATGCATTCAAGGCTTAAATGTAAGTTCCAAAACAGTACAACTCCTAGAAGTAAATAGAAACGAAAAGTTCTTTGACTTTTGCCTTGGCGATGAGTTTTTTGACATGATCCCCACGGAACGACAGACAAAAACAAAAATAAATCAAGGATACTTAATCAAACTCAAAAGCTTCTGCATTACAAAGGAAACAACAAACTGAAAGGCAATCTGCACAATGGGAAGATACATTTACAAACCATATATCCAACATGGGCTTAATGTCTAAGATATAAGGAACTCACCCAACCCAAGAGCAATGCCCCTGATAATCTAAAAATGGACAACAGACCTGGGTAAGCATTTCTCCAAAGATATAACCAACCAATATTTTAAAATATACTCAACAGCATTAATCATTAGGGAAATTAAAATTCAAACCACAATCTTCTTTGCAGCTGTTAGTATGGTTTTTATAAAAAAGACAACAGAGGAAAGAATTAGTGAGGATGTGGAGAAAAAGGTACCTTGCACACACATGGTTGGTGGGAATATAAGTTATACAGCCATTACAGAAAATAGTGTAGAGGGTCTCACAAAATTAAATGTAGAACTACCATATGATCCAGCAATCTCCTCTAAGTAGCTGTCTAAGGAAATAAACTCATTATCCCAAAGAGATAGATAGCACACCCTCATGGTTGTCACAGCATAATTCACGATACCCCAAAAGACAGAAATCACTTAAATATCCATGTATGGATAGTTGGACAAAGAAATCATGATACATATGTACAATGTGATACTATTCAGCACAAAATAAAGGAAATCTTGTTCTTTGCAGCAACATGAATGGAGCTTGAGATCATTATGCTAAATGAAATAAACCAGGCATAGAGAGACAAAGGCTGTGTGGTCTCATTTCTATGTGGGATTAAAAAAAGTCAAATTTTCAGAAGGAAAGCATAGCATGATGAGAGCCAGGAGCCGAGTGGTGACAGACATGAGGAAGGTGTTAACCAACGCATATAAATTTTCAGTTATGAAATAAGTAACTTTTGGAGACTCTGATGCACGGCATGGATGGTGACGGAATTGTTTATTTGATCACAGTAGTCATTATACTTTATCTACAAATGATCATTCATCACGCTGTATGCCTTGAGGGTCTACAGTCATTATTTTTCAACTGAACATTTAAAAATTACAACTGTGCAAATTTAAAAGACCATAGAATCTCTCATCTGTGCTGTTTTTGATCAGAGAGAGTAGAAATCTATCAAGTTAGTTTTTTTTAAACTCAAAAACCATGGAAGTAGGTAGGGACCAGGGCCGTCAGTGAGAGGATGGTGCACTCTGGGTCTGGTGACTCTCCAATGCTGAGGGCAGGAAGGTGCATGTAAGATGGATGTAGGAACCACTGTTATGAGGCATCAGGTAGGAAAGAAAAACTTGGCTGGTAGGAACTGAACCTAACCTGGGACAGACTTAGAAGGAAAATGAACCATCACTCTACCTCACTTTAAATGCAAACAAAACTATGGGGAAGACAAAACCAAAATCTCATGAGTATGTCCCAGAGGAAAAAGCAAAACAGCCACGCAATGACTGTAGAGCTAATAATCATAGAATGACTGGGACGGATTGACAGAGATTCTATGGGACCTGCAGTCTGAATGGAGAAGAAACACATCCTGAGATGAGGAGAGGGGCCCCAAGGTAATGCACCAGCAGGTTAGACAGTGACGCCCCCCACCCCATATAATTCCTGTGTGATGGTCTGTGCATTCCTTCTTTCTAACCATCCTTATATACTTTTATCATGAAGGTCGACTTGAAGAACCTTACAGAATATTCTGGGAATCGAATATATTTTAGAGTTCTAAATACTGCCTCTGGAGGACACACAATTTGAGTGTTGCCTTGTTTATTTGCACTGGATCACATTGGGTGGGGTCAGGGTAGAATCCAAGCTAAAGCACAATGCTAAACATGGCTTGGGCAGTATCCTTCTGCCAAGGAACCTGAAAAATCCAGCATCAGAAAAGATCTTGACATTTTTTAAATTTATGTATTTATTATCTCTACTATTTTTTGTTGGACATACCCATGGGGTACAGTGTTGTAATTCAATAATGTATATACTGCATAATGATCAAATTAGGACACTTCATAATTCCCTCTCCCTATACATTTCTATATCTTTGGGTTGGGAATCTTTGGAATTCTCTCTTCTACTTTTTCAGAAAACATAAAATAAATCATTGTAAACTATAGTCACCTTACCGTGCTGTGGAACACTAGAACTTATTCCTGCTACCCAAAGTCTCACTGCTACCCAAAATTATGAAATACTCCAAGCTCTAGTAAAATTAGAACTTACTTAATAAAAATTTGAGATAACTGGCCTCATTTTCACATTTGCCTTACTCTTCCCATGCGGACTCAATGGGCTACCTCATGCAATTTTTTGATCGAGAAACTAATATTTATTCATCATTAATAAGATTCCAGGCAATAAGCTAAGCATTTTTACATGCATAAATTTAGCTAATGGTGTCCACAACCTCTGAGGTAAATTATATTATTGTTCCCAATTTACACACGCTAAAACTGAGGTCCTATAAATTCAGTAGTTTGCTCAAGGTCATCTAAGCAGTAAAATTAGGTCTCAGACTGTTTGGAAAGACTAAAACCAGAGTTTCACACACTTTTTTTAAAATCACATATAAAGTTTGCTAAGCACAACGACAGTGCAAAAATCCTAGAGAAGAGTGTTTTCCCTAATTAAGAGAAAAGTGCTTTAAAACACTGTAGTGCAAATATTAATATGCTCCCCATCTCTGCAAATATCAGCTAGTTTTGAAAAGAAAATAAATGAGGCACTTGTGAATCAGAGATTAGGAAACTCCAAAATAGACGGACCAAAGCCTAAGGGTTCACCCAGGTCTGTTCCCAGTGCATGGCCTTCCTCCATTACTCCTCTGGTGCACAGTTCTGAGCTTGATGCCTCTTAGCCAGGGATGAGATGGACATGAGGATACAGTCATCAGAGAAAGTCTTAAGTAGAATGGTTTGAGTTTCAGGCCCATAATGTGGGGCTCTGGCATATTCTTACATTTCACTTGCTCTTGCCTGGTATCGGATCCTTTTGGTTCCGTGTGGTTCTAATCTTTCCAGGACACCACACACTGCTGAGTGACATGGTCCTTTGCTTACCTTGCTGTGATGTAGCCACACAAGCTCAGTATTAGGGAGGCAGGCCTCGATGCTCTGAGTTTACATCCTGGCTCCTCTGCTGGCTAGGTCTGCTCCCTTGCAGCGACAGCCATCTTTAGTTTTCTTGATTGTTGTACTAAGTAAATTACTTAACTCCAAGCAATGCCTGGCCCTGAGGGGAGTGAGGCACTTGACTCGGTACAGATGGTAAGAAAGGGCACCAAGAAACTCAGTAATGAAGATATATAATCTTTTAATGCATATTTTTAAAATGTCATAGTGTTTGTTGATTGCAGTGCACAGCTAAAAATTCAGGGTTTATAAAGAAACATACTTTTCAAGGTCTATGGACGAGAATCCTGATTCAGGCTCTTGGAACCACATCACAGGACACACTCATTCATCTGCCCTGAGAACGCACGGGCACCTACTAAACGTAAAAGATCATCCTCAGAGTTACTGACACGGCGTTTCCGTGTGGACCTCAGCCAGGTGCAGAGTTGCTGGGGAATGCCCAGACGCATGCGCTCTGTCTTTCAAATCTCTGTTAATATTAGTACGCACAGACAGGTCCCTGTGCACCCTGGCAGTTGCTCTTGCCTTCTCCTATTTATACAGGAAGCCACATATAATTTCACCTGGTGATTTTTCCAATTATCCCTTTCTACAACAGAGCTAAATCAGAGGCAATGACAACAAGAGGCGTTGCTAGCCCTGGACGCACGGCAAACATTCTGGAGTCTGGACTGGCAAGAGAACATCAGCAGGTTTTCTCATCACTTCTTGACTTCGGAATGTGCAGTTGTTTGGAAGATAAGAATACGCCCCACCTCACCCTCCTCCTGCCTCCCCAAGCCAGACTGCCTTTTTCCCTCTCCCTTCCTCAAGGAAAATTAAATGAAGTCAGCTAACGAGCAGTTTTATTTTCTTTCAGCAAAGGTCAGCAATCCCACAGCAGCAAATTAATCCCAATTAGTAATGATATTTTGTCTTGATAAATGATGACACATTTGATTTACTGTGTTTCCAGGATGCAGGCAGCAAATGTTAATGATTTGGTTTGCTGGGAATTTATACTCTCGCTCATTTCCCATTTGCTGATCAGTTGTGGCTCGTGAAGACTTGGCTGCTTCAACTAATGAACTGAGAGGCTCTCAGGAATAATGGTGTGTTCTGCAGCCTTCATTTTTTTTTTTCCATGCCATCTGTAGAAATGCAGGTTCTTCTCAGAAAATATCTCTGGCAGGCAGGAAGGAGCGATTATGATCGTATCAGTGTCACTTGTAATTTGTATTTCACTTGTTTAATGGCATCCCCAATAAATGAAGCTTTCTGTACAGAACAAAACTAATTATAGCAAATTCAGAACTGGGATGTGTGTGTGTGCGTGCGTGCGTGCGTGCGTGCATGCGTGTGCGCGCGCACACAAGATGAAGAGAACTCATGAATAGAAACATCTAGTCTTTTCTCATTTCCTTAAAATATTCTGATAGCAGTGATGCTGTTTACGTAATGATTTATCTGCCCAGCTGGTATGGTTTTAAATTAGACCAATGAGGATGTTTTCTTGAGGTCTTCATAACTGAACATGCCATCCCTTTGTGTACAATAAATGCAGACATAAATGCAACGCTTTCTCTTTTCCACCCCTAGGTTCTCAGGCATTACTCTGAGGCTTGCCACAGGCATGTATAACTCTTCATAAAGCCCACCATAGCTGCCCCTGTGGCTGTGCGTGTCAGGTTGGGGGTGTCTCTGGGACCTGTCCCCAGGCTTACCAAAGGTTCACAGCAGCAGAACACCCAGGGGGAGATGAACTTTCCCACGGTGGAGATGCTGAGGGGCCTGTCCTCGCACTTGATGCCATCCGTGCTACAGAAAACAGACGGGATTGGGGGCAGCTCGAGGCAGGCTGGCATCGCCGGTGTTTACAAGGCTGTGAGCATGAGACAGAAGAGGGATCATTATGGTCCATGTTTAAGAGCTGAGAATGTCAGAAGCCCCATTTACATTCTGCTCCAGGGAACTGAATGTTTCCCTCTTGTTTTTAATCCTTGTTCTTACTATCAACTAATAAAACATCAATAAACTTCACTCTTCTTGCTTAAGGCAATACTTTTACATGTATTATTATAGCCAATGACCAAACCCACCTTAAGTGTCTTCCACTTTCCCCTTCTGAGACTTCTGCCTCTCTACCCCTGACTTTCCTGGGACAAGGTTGACCTTCCCTGCTGCCTCTGGAATGCAAATGACAGGGGACATTTGACCGGTTTGCAAAGACTGATGGCTTGGACTGGTGCAGGGAGAGATATTAAAGTGATATTCTTCACCACACAACTTGCCTATTTCAATGTGCTCTGCTTTTCACTCAGACATATTTTCTTCCTTATATTCTTGCCACGGTGTCCAGTGGAGCATCCCCTGTATTAGTGCAAGTACTCAGAACACAGACAAGGATGCAGAATTAAATGTGCACAAATTTTCAGAGGAAATGCTAATGTCCAAGAAAATTAAAGAGAGACAGGGAGGCTGAGGAGGTGAGGAGAGCCCTATGTTCCAGTGCTGGTGGTTTTGTTTCTCTTGTGGTGAGTGTGAAACAGGATTGTCTTATGCCCCCTCGTTTGGTTATCTTACAAAGATAAGGCATTTGTATCCTGCTATTTCAGTGAGAATGCTCTATACCCTGGAGAACAGGACTGACGGTTCTTGGGCTTCTTGGAAAATAATAATGATAAAAAAGAAGACAGTCTCTTTCAATGACACTCATGTTGGAAAGCTGAAAGTGTATCTAGTTAGGTCTTCCTTCCAAGTCTAACATCAGTCTCACATGCTTCTTAACATTTTCCTTAGACACCTCTTCTGGTAACATCTCCCATTCAAAGAACGCAGCAAAAGAACACCTACACTGTGTGTTCCACTCACTGTGTATGTTACAGGATATATGCCACTGGTTCCATTATTTCCCCATAAACCTTATCCTCTATTCTCTCCCGGACAGTGCGGGTAAGAAGTAGTATGTGAGGGGCAATGCTGAGCCTAACTTCCTGTTATTGTGTTAGTTACCTTTCTCACCATAAGACAAAATAGCCCACACCCGATGTTAAAGGGGAAAGAATTTACTTAGCTCAGACTTTGTAGAAGTGTCAGTCCATAATCAGCTGGCTTTGAGGCAGAGTGGTACACGGAAGAGGGGCATCACAAAGGGGAAACAGTTCATGGTGCCTACACAGTAGCAAAAGCTACAAGAGAATTTATCAGCGTCTTTCTGCCCCTTTTATCTTATTCAGGCTAGCAAGATTAGCGCGGTGCCAAACCAATCAGTTTACTGCTTCTGTAGTCACATGCTCTTCATCCCAGGAACACACGCTCTACCTTCAGCTACCACATGAGGTTTTGGGGGAACAACTAGACCCAAGTCATAACAGCCATCTTTCACTAGTCCATTTAAGACCACCAGACTTCCTATTTCATTCTGTGAATAAAGAGAATTAGATTAAAGAATCTCTATGCTTTCTGTTAGTGCTACTACTCATCAAACTTTGGTCTGTGTAATGTCAAATGACAAGCATTCTACCCATACTTAATATAGTGATTTTGACTTCAGAAGGGACTTGTGATTATTACAGGGTCAGTGGTGAGCTGTCTCTCAAGAGGGCAGAAGAGACCCTCCATTATATCCCCAGAAGGTACAAAGCGGAAATAGGAAATCTTATGCTTCTTGAATCAGATACAGCAGGATAAGTAGCTTCAAACAACCAAATGACAAGCTGGCCACATTACCATTTTCCACGTGTGATCCAGTGAAAATGTAGGATCATTAATAACATCACATTTTAAGAGCAAGTGTGATAGCATTGTTGACAGGACACAAGAGAATGGGGTGGCCCAATGCCATGTTTGACTTTATCTTTAATGCCTTTAGACGCGTTACCCATAATGTGTTCTCAGAGATATCTTTAGCATTACTATCAGCCTGTTAGAAACCTATAATATCAAACCTCACCCCAGAGCTACTCAAAAACTTGACAGGAGAGGGTCCATAGTTTGTGGGGCCTGAAACTCCTTCCCTTTAAAATAATGTATATGCAGTGTGTAGACTTACATGTGTACATGTGTCAACCTAACCTATCCTTCTTATCACATGTTAGTGCTTAAGACATAGCCTAACTTTCCTTCCCTCTGTTTCTATCGTACACATGCAGAATCCTGCTCCACTGGAAAGGAATTCTATCAAAGCAGCTTAACGATGAATGTTTTCTGTGTCTTAGGTAAGGCGCCAGCTAATCTCAGTTGTAACTTGACTAGGTTAGGAGTCACTTGCAGATGTGCTTGGATCAGGGGAGGCACCATAGACCGAAGGGGAGGGTTCATCCACTCATATTCTTAGTCGAATGTGTCGTCGGGAGGTGAGGTCCGGCTGCGGGCGAACTGCTAGGAAGCCGATGTCCTTCGCCGCCATCTTTCCGATGAGCTTTTGCTGTGCTCTGACTGCAGGCTGCCGTGAAGTGAGCGGCTCTGCTTCACCACACCTTCTGCCTGATGCTTCTGCTGTGGAGCTGCTGGTCATGGACTGAAACTTCTGAAACCATAGCCTGAAAAGGAAATCGATCCCCCTTTTTTTAAATCTCCACTTTTAAGTTGTATATTTCAGGTATTTTGTTCCAGCAATGGGAAAGATGGACAATACCGATAGTGATAATAGTAGCTAATATTTATTGAGTGCTTACTAAGAGTCAGGAGAACTGGAAATAGATATTTTACTTAATTTTTTATAGCAATCTGAAGAGCCAAGAGACTTCGTTTAGACTGACCCTTATCCTAGAGATAGGTATGTCAAAGAGAAAAGATTAGAGCCCCAGGAATCAATTCTGTGGCCCGCGTTCTCAAACATTGAACCATACTACCCTTTTGATGGCAAAATTAAAATGTCCAAGGAGTCTGCAGTCACGGAAACAAAGAGAATGAACATACTGTGGGGAACTAAGGTGCCACGACTCTGTAACAAAGGGGGATCCAGAAGCAGATCAGGTGGGTGCCTGCTATAGGCCCAGCGCGTCTCGCAGAGCAGCTCAGCTACTGCACCAGCCCACGGGGCAGGCTTTGGTGGCGGCTCTCTCATTAAGCATTTCTCTTCATGATTTGCTGCTTCAGGTGGAAGCACTGTACTGAAAGCTCTAAAGGGAGTGAAGAGAGCATTCCAGGAGCCAAAAGCAAGATGAAGCCTGTCATTTAATGTATTTTCACTAAATCTTTCTGTAAGAAAACCCCCCATGGTCTCATGGCTTTGAATTCTTTACAACAAAACCTATTGGCACTCGTAACAGTAGTGTCTCTTTCTGCTTCACTCTATGGAAAGAGATGATAAGATCCTTATAAATTTTTCAGTAATAGCCTCAACCATTGACAAGTAAATGAATGAAATAGACATAGAAAGACATAAAATTAAAATGTTGCGTGGTTAAAAAGAAAATACGAATTAGTGTAAGTGTTATTTCCTATTTTCTTTCCTCTTTCTTCTGTACTATTTCTAGGACTGCAGGCCGCCAACAGGATGTAAAATATTATACACATAGACATACACTGTATCATTAAGTCACTACAAATGGACATATACAGGACAAACTTAGTGTCTCAAGACTGCACTGGGTGGGGCAGTCACCCCAGCATGTTGGCCCTCTGTTTTGATCCACTTTCTGGGATCTTTAAGAAGCTGGATGGAATGTTCTCTATTTCTCTGGTCCTTTCAGGTGACAATAGTTATGCTATTTCTGAAGTCAGCCATGTAAAGTAAAAATAAAAATTCTTATTTCAATTGTATTTGAGGTTGTTGTATGATTTCTAATCAAGTTGTAAAGAGTAGGAAAGCAAATATCAATGCACACTAAAAGCACTCCACCATTTTGACTTTAAAACACTAGAGAACCAAGCCTATTTGGTTTCTGCATAGAGCGAGGAGGAAAGAAAGCCAACATGCCGAGTGCAAGGGTACATCTGCATAGAAATTAAATCCAAAAACGTATTCACACGAAATATAGCTAGATGAGCAAAGGTGGCCTGAAAATGCTGTTTCTGTATATAGCTTCAATCATATTGACAAGGAAAAGAAATGACACGAAAAGTGATGAAATCAAAATAAGGCAATTTATGCCGTGAAGAAACTTGAATGATAATGATTTCTGACACAGATGTTATAAAGGAAAAAAAATCAGATCACTTTAAATGGCACTGTTATATTTAAGACAAATGAAAATTATGCAAGAGGCCTATGTCAATTTGCAAAATATCAAGAGCAAAGAGGTTAGCCAAGTGACTCTATCACATCTGGATATGGGCTTTGTGGGAGGAGTCACGGCTGAATGATGAGGCACGGTGACCACCAGGGCCATCAGACCCTTCTGTAGAGGACTATCGCGGGCCTGTGGAGAAGGCGTCGGGAAACCACCCAACAGGCTGGTTTATTTCCTCCCCTGCTTGGACATGGAGAAAATACGCTAAGGTGGCAGTGTGGACTTGGAGTGTGAGTCCCAGAAGTGGGCTCCTAACCATTGGGGTTAGGAGACAGTGACAAATGAAATGGCTGGCAGCTGCTGTACAGAGGCAGAGAGCAGAATCTATGCTCCATGCCAGGAAGCAGCTGATATGGACTTCAGGGCAAATAGCAGATGCCACAGAGCAGGCACCAGGACAGCGTGGTACTCGGGTCCACTGTGACATCAAAAGGAAGCAAATGAGGTTCGCAATTCTTTAAAATCAGAAGCAAAGTGCAAACTTTGGTCAGTGGTGATTGATAATGAATGAATTCCTTAAATACAAAGTTATAACTAGGTTTCCTAAAATCACAATTTAAATTCTTAGGGGATATTTCATCACCACTCCCCTTTCACAAACAATGAAATTATATGATAAGTAGGATGATCATTATGTAAATAACATGTCTAATGGATTGTGGACATTGTAGCGGTGGTCTAACATGACCTAATATGTGTGTGTGTATTTGTGAGTGTGTTTTAAATTATGTTAAAAATCACGGATTCCTTTCTCTCCTTCACATATATCATGGGGTTGTGATTTTGTCAGAACTTCTTAATTGATTTCAGATTATGTATTTAGTTATAAAATATTTACTCATTGTTTTAGTGTAGGTCAGCGTGATCATTTTTTTGAACTAAAATGTGGGGTTTTCACACAGAAATACACACAAAGACCTCACCTACTTCAGTCTGTCTGACACTAATCTACCAATGGACTAATGATAGTTATGGGCCCTAAATCCAAAAAATGATGTCATGTTAGTCATCTGTACATAAAAC